TTTGTCAGTAGATACATCAATTCCTTCTTCAGCCTGTTTAATACATTTTTTTTTATATAAGCAGAATTTTATATTTCAAACTTTCTGTTTCAGTTCACCAGCAAGCCTGTTCAGATGAACGATTTTAAGAAATGTTTCATATCTGAAATTTGTATTAATTGAAATGGAATATTATCTTTATATCATTGCTTGTAATTCTTTCATTTCATTAGAAAAAAGAAAAAGACTAAACTTGTCAAATAATATCCAAATTAATGATGAGGCCTTTTAATTGTAAGGATTTAAGATGAAGGGTGGTGACTCGGTCTGGGTTCACGAAATACTTCACAAGACTTAATTCCATTTTCCTTACACTATTTGTTTCTTGTTTCACATTTTCGTTATACTATTTGTTTCTTGTTTCACATTTTCGTTATACTATTTGTTTCTTGTTTCACATTTTCCTTATACTATTTGTTTCTTGTTTCACATTTTCCTTATACTATTTGTTTCTTGTTTCACATTTTCCTTATACTATTTGTTTCTTGTTTCACATTTTCCTATACTATTTGTTTCTTGTTTCACATTTTCCTTATACTATTTGATTTCTTGTTTCACATTTTCCTTTTCTATTACATGATATTGAATACATTTCTGCATCAACAATTCTATGTCATTTTCACATTTCAGTGAAGAATCAGATGTTGTTAAGGCATAAATCACAAAAGTTAGTAGCTGTGAGAAAAGTGTGTGCTTGTTTGATGTTTGTAATGTAGTGCACTGATTAAAACCTATACCCCTCGCTGTCCCTCTTGTGGGAATACATCAGTGTGGAAAGTAGGGTGGGATTAGGGTTGGGGGAGAGATTAGTAAATATCTTAAAAAAAAGCAATCTTATCCTGTCTGTTTAATAGTTTTTTAAGGTCTAATTAGTGAAAAACTCAGGGACTGAGTCTTACCAGAAGACCATGCATGCTAATTATATTAAAGAGATCTACATCAATGTGACAGGTCTAACTGAAACTTATTCAATTATCAACTTTATCCAATTATCAAACTGTATAATTTGTAATTAGCCTAGAAAGGAGTGGTATAATGATTGACCCTGCCAAACCGTAAGAACCATAAAGATAATTGTTCATCAACAAAGGCGCAAGATGTATACAGATTCACTATCCATGCTGTTCTATAAATCTGACCTCTAATAATTTTCATTTTAAAAATAATTAATAAAAAATGATAATAATGACAAAACCTACAATGCTTAATATAGATTATAAATCAATCCAAACATTACAGCTACAGTTGTATCTTTCATGAATGATAAAAAATATATCATTTGTTCTACTAACTGAGTATCCTCTGTTCAAACAACTGATTAGTTTATCCACAATGATATTAATACGCAAAATCAAACAATATGAGAAACTCGAGATATGTTACATATATCTAAGTCAATCATCAGCATAAAAACATTAAATCAAGGCAATCTGAATACGAATAAAAGGCCCTCCTTGGTTAAAACTCCATGATAACAATTACTGGTACATGTGTGTGTCATACCTACATTAAGATAAATCTCCCAGCATCAATTATTCAATCTTTAGTGCTCTGGAAATCTTTCTCTGTAAAGTACAGATATATCACTGTTTGATGAAACAACTGAATAGCTATTTAAACCACAAAACATTGTTTGGCTTAAGAAAATGTAAGCTAAATCCTTTAAAGCAGTTACTCGATAACTAGACATGATTTGAGAAATATACTGGTAAATTTTGAACCCCATATTTCAAAAAGTCTTTATACAAACAACTGCATAATTTTAATATAATGGTGTGTGTTTATTGCATATCAAGAGATATATTACTGTTCAGAAATCAATTTCAATAAAGACATCTTTCATCTATGTACATAACTTGATTGAAACAGAAGAAATTCATTAGACTCTTGTACAGTCTACCAGCTGTGGGTATGATCTGGTAGTCATGATATGAAAGCATTAAACATTATTTCATTTACCTAATTTCGATACATTTTTATTCTAGCCATTGATAAAATCTAGTTAGAAATTGCGATGTTAAAAATAACTTAATTATGGACAACACCAACGACCTTCAAAATTGTTTTGTGTTTCATGAAAGTTTCACTAGCAAGTTTTTACATCCAGAAATGACCAATTTTAGGAGTTCATTCCAGTCTTCAACTTGGCCAATAACATGTTGTGACAGTGAAGGTAATATTTGACCTTAGCTGTCTCATCATTCAAATTTGTGTCTTTTGAGAATTTCAATAGCATAGCTACCAGTACTTAAAATGGAAAATTATGCTGGTACCATAGAGCCACCTATTCTTGCCATATCTTTTAAACAGCCAATATTCCAACACCAAGGGATATTATTTTCTTTATATGATGGACTTAAACTAGTTTGCATTACTCAAAGTTCAGAGTCAATTGTTTTAATGAGTCAAAAGTATTCCCTTTATGAGCTGTCTGCAAAGAGTGAACCTGACAGATAAATGCATAAAGGTTAATCAGTTCTGTAATTACGATACTGATTCAGAGGAATTTTATTTCTAATGCATGGTATTGCTTCAAATAAAGGCATTTAGAAACAGATACCACATTATCATATGTATACAATTATGTTATCATCATTTTGTATTTTTAAACTTCCAGTATTTAGCAAAGTGACAAGTAAAATATGGAATATGAGAAACCATTATTTAAACATAAATACTAACTGCAACACTTTATATGACACAGGAGAAGATAGCTAGATTGAATCAGTTAAAACCATAATTTCACTTAAGTTAATTACAAACTTTACAAAACCTCCTCTTATTTACACATATCTCTTTTGCATCCATCACTATAAAGCGAAAATGAAAAAAAAATAAAACTCAATTAGATATTTTCTTCCAAATGCCAATTAACTGAAAATGACTACTTTCACAGATAGTGTCCTCATTTTTAGAATATGCCTGCATTGATGCTTCAATTCAAAATTGGTACACAAGATAAATAGGTTTTCCTGAAATGGTATTTTGTCTCTGCTCTAACTGTATAAAAGGTGAACATTATTTGAAAATGATGCGACACTTGAAAGTTGAATATAAGGCCATGCATCTTCGCAAATTTGCAATCCTTGAGTAATAAAACAACGTTGGTGCATGTAATTATCTTTCTGTGAGGAACTGGTGGATAACAGAATAATTTCATTTAGGTTTATGTACCCGTTTCATCCTGTCATTTTGAAAACTAACTACAACAGCTGTCTATAAGTACCCAAGTTTAATGATATTAAAGCCTTGTTATGTCTACCCGTGAGTAATGGCCTGTATCACTAACACAAACTTAGCTTCTTTTGAAAACTTACATTATGCAGGTTTATTTTCATGACTTGAACTCATTACAAAAGAGCAGGGCAACAAATGGATATGTGTCAAATGTTCCTGAAGAATGACAAAATTCATGGTTACTACTGCAAAGACCTGAAGCTGGCAGATGAGAGTTAAAATCACAGTCTGCATTAGTGTTATTGAACTTAACTCTCAACCAATGATTGATTTATGAGCAACAGGTTTGATATGAAACTTAATTTGTTACTACAATCTGAACTCTAGGGATTCTACAGTCAAATAACAACCTATCATTGGAGTAATTCACTAAACTTCCATACCATTATTTCCTGTTCAGATTTAACTTTTAAAGTAATTTTGAATTCCTTTGTCTCCCCACCCATGTTTCTCAGGAAATGACTTGGAGAGCTATATATAGTCTGAACGACCTTCCACATCCCCAGCCATTATAAACACAGCTACCTGAGTTTTAAAAAGCAGAGTGTCAGTTGTCAGACAAACGAGCTGCAGTTGACAGCTGCTCTCCTAATGTATGTCATGTGCAAATCAATTTGATGTTTTCAGATAAAACTACCCCACTTGGCCTTGCGATGGTATTTTCTTCATTAACTATTATTTATGGGCTAGCAAACTGACATGTATGAAAAATAAATGACGTTATTTGTGTTCTCTTTTGACTGATAACAGTAACCATCAATCACATTGCAATTAGCATCTCCCATTACACAACCCCATGAATTCCTTCCAGTGTGTGATTCCCCCTGGAAACCAAACAACAAGTTTCTTTAGATCATACTGCGTGAGGATAATTATAAATGCAAAAAGTTTCACTTCCCATATTATAGTCCCAAATGTCATCTTATCATTTCATCTAATGCAAGACTTTGCTAATACATCTTGCAAAATGTCAGATACGAAGCAGGCGCCTTTGTTTGCACTGTTGAACAAATACATTAACAATATAAAAGCTGGGGTTGATTGATGGAAGCGGAGATTGATTGTACTGGTTCCACAAAGGCCGCCTGACAGCTGATTGACAATCTGCAATGAAACCTTTGATTGATGTGTTCAGAACAAACAGCAGATGTGCCTGTTGTCGACTAACACTTAAACAGCATAGTACGGGCGACATGTTCTAAATCCTGTTCGACCCCATAAAGATTAAACCTAAGATGAAAGTGGCACATAAAACATTTCAAAAATGAACTTTATGTTTTCTCAACACAATTAAAAATGTAAACAGATACCCGTAATTTGTTTTCGGGTACGTCGCGACATTCTGAGTAAGGGTAGCCATGCGTGCGTTTTTGACAGACGACATAAAATTTGACTGCTCGAGTGTGATTGTGTACACGATTTTCATGTTGACGTCCTGTACTTACATTTACATCGTTTGGGCTGTTCTTGTTTTCTTCTTGGCATTCTCTGGGTTGTTAATCGTCCACTGCCATCAGTTTTTGTTGTCAACCGTTATTTAAAAGTACCGCATGTCAAGAAAAACAGCAGCACACTGCTCAAACCAACCTCCAAAACTCACCCGGAAGTAAATATTCTCCGGTCGTAGGTGAAATCCGATAAGCATGCGCACTTTGGTAGATGTTGCCATATTTCCGGTATTGCTTTCTCAACGTTTACAAGAACTTTACATCAAAATGCAAGATTATCTGTGATGCAACCAAATGGAAGCGTCGGTAATCTATGTCTGTGTGTAGCTTACTGTCATAGATGAGACAGCATAGGTAATTTATCTGTACAATCCCTACAATGCTTCTAAAAATACCATTTAAACTGGCGACTGTTGGACAATTTCCTCTGTATCGTATGTTTTTCAACCAAAACAAACACTGCTATGTCCATGTTATAATATAAATCTGAATGTATAACGCTGAATTTCTGACTTTCAGTTTACATTTTCACGTATACCGTATCACTATTAATATATATGGGCAAAATGGTGATTGACAATAGGTCAATGACCTCATTTGACGATTTGTGATTTTACACATACGGATGCAGTACAACCCTTTTTGCCCTTATCTTGCTGTCATTATAATATTAAATTCCACAATCCCACCCATCACACTGAATCACACCACACGTAAGACCCTACTATTAAAACATTAAATATTTGATACCAGCACAGTGAACAGTTTAAGGGAGGTGACATGAAACCAGACATGAAGTTTAACTGTTTCTCTTTACATTGAATAAATAGATACAATGAATATATAAATACTATCTTTGCATCATGCACATGGTCAAGGAACCAAGTTTGTGTGGAAAACTTTCATTCAACTTGCCTGGAAGACGAAAATGACCGAGGCTCTATATCTCCAACAAATCTTTTTAATATTGTAGAGCTTATACTTGGTGTGGCCAACACCACAAAATTTGAAATGAATGAACTGTTTATATGAAAAAGGTTCTGGGCTTGCCAAAGTTAGGGCAGGAACATGCATTTTAATTGTTGAGGCAGAAGGGAATTCTAAACTAGTTGGAGCTAATTGACCTGTTTTATTAACTTTCACATCATAATGTAAAGTATATTTTATGCTTTTTATCAGTGTACATTTTAACTCCTTATTCAATAAGTGATGAAATTTCAGTTTTGTACATTTATCAATGTTAATGGAGGTTGCTTTCTGTAGTGTCTCTGGGGATACAATGTCGTAAGAGTGATAACAGATTATATTTTCCTGACTCATGTGTGCAATTAAAGTCATTTTTTTAACTTCTTGTATTGTCTCTAGGTGGGAAACCTCAGGAGTGTCAATAGAGGTCAATTTTTACAGTGTATCGGGTATGTGTCATTTCAGAAATGTTAAAGAGTTTGCTTTCTTTAGTGTTGCAGAAGGTCACATGTAATGTCTCAGGGATGTTAACAGAGGTCACTTTCTCCCATGTCTCAGGAATGTGATGTTCCAAGAATGTTAACACAGGTCACTTTCTCTTGTGTCAGGAATGTTAACAGAGGTTACGTTTTCTCCTTTCTCAGGAATGTTAACAGAGGTCATTTCCTCTCATGTCTCAGGCTTGTTAACAAAGGTCACTTTCTCCTGTGTCTCAGGAATGTGATGCCCTAGGAATGTTAACAGAGGTCACTTTCTCTCGTGTCTCTGAAATGTTAACAGAAGTCTCTATCATCTCAGGAATGTTAACCATTGTTGTTTTTGGTTGTTTCCTCAGGAATGTGATATCTCAGGAGCTTTAACAGAGTTTGCTTTTTGTAGTGTCTCAGGGATGTTAACAAATCTGGAGGTAGTAAGTAGTGTATCAGGAAATTAAATCTTATTTTTTCACATCATTTTACACCACAAATTGATAATCATATGTTATTTATTAGTTTATAATCAGGATTCTGTATCGGCTTCTTTTGTAATAGCTGATTCTATTTGGAACTCCAGAATTAACTTTTTTCCATCATTTGAAAAGCTTACTTAGGTTGTTCTTTCTATTCACTTCATAACATGAACAACATGAACAACTTCTTACAAAACAACTGATTAATATAAGGGCCAATCAAGCAGATATGACTTACTATATTGACTAGAAGTAGATTTGAACAAGCTGGTACTTTTTATCATAAGAATATATAGCTTGTCTAATAGAATTAATGGAAAACAGTTTTTAGACAGAGTCAGTAGTGATATTTGAAATGTGATGTTACTAATCACAGGGAAAAAGTGCCACCCATAAGTTTATCACTCTATTTCACATCCAGGTAGTGTATGTAATTCATTAAGCAATGGTTGAACAAAAATAAGACAGCTGTGAAATTTCCAAATAACAGAAGTAATTGTCTACATTTTCTGTAACTCATATGAAGGCATCAGTGTAATTTAAAACATACTTGTTCAGCACTGTGAAGGGAAGTAACTCCAGGTACATAAGTTTTTGGCTTGTTTATTTTCATGTGTGCATAGCTAGATAAGTGATATGACATGATATAGTATATACTAAATATAGTATATCTATATCCTTTTTATGGACATCTCAACTAGTCAGTGAAAATAGAATTGAAATTTTAATAGATAACTGATTGAGTCAATATATGTACCTAATCAACATGCTTTAAGATATGATAACACTGATGTCAATCAACTAATGCTGATACTGTTATAATAAGACAGTTTTAAGAGTTCAGAAATCTAAATTAAAAGAGACTGATTAGAAGTTGTTGGAGTTCAGAGACAGATATGTCTGTAAGAGATTTACTTTCAGATTATTAGACTGTAGACAGATCAGTCTTCATTACCTGAATCTCTCAGAGTTGTAATTTAGCCTATTTTACAATTGAATTTCCTTTGATTATAAATCATGTTACTTGGAACAGGATTGAAATGTAAGCATCACCACAGTTTTATAGGTAAAACAGTTTTGAAAAAGATAATTTAGTTGAGACATTTGGAGCAGTAAATATATTTGTATAAACCAGGGTGGCAGGGGGATGGTTGGTAAGATATATGATATATTTATCAAAAAAGGACACATTTGACAATCATTTGGCATCTTAGGAGGATTTTTTAATTTCAACAAATGCAGTGATATGTTAATTGTCTCTTTTCAGTGGGCTGGCATTGAGACTGGGACAGGACATTGGTGATTGGTAGTACAACTGTCACCACTACATCAGAGGTGAGGGAAACACAGTCATGTCTTGTGTGTATAGATGAAAGGTTGTAACATGTTGACAGCATTTTTGATATAAATAATTAACCAACCCTTCAAGTAATGGTCATATTTTTTTCTGATACAAGTGACGGTCATATTTTTTTCTGATACAAGTAACGGTCATAATTTTCTTTTCTGATACTAGTTTTAAGTGGGTGTGGTCAATTGTATATATTTACAAAGCTTTGCTATTTGAAACAACAACAAATATCTGTCACATTGTCAGACTAAGGAAGATAACAAATACATGTCACATGACATAGTGCATGTATCAACGTCCAGCAGCAGACACCATATAACCCAGCTGCTAATAAGGTCACAGGTTAAAGGTTATGGTCCTCAGGCCCATCATATATATTTTTTTCACAGGAAACAACAGTTGCGCTGTTGTCTGCAGAGTTATGAGGGGAAAAAATGGAAATAGTAAATGTTTGGCATACACAGTGTATGACGTCAATATAAGTGATGGTGTTAGCCTGTGGGAGATGACACCTGGATTAGGATTGATTGCCTCTAGATTTCACTAATTAATTCTAACAGACCACTGACAGGTGCTAAACTTGTTTTGTTGATAAATGCCTAATAACAGAAGGAATTTGTCACACACATACACAGTGAGATTTCTACAAAAACTGTAAAAATATTGAGATATTTTACTGACTATTTAATGAATCATTTTGTCATCTGTGTCTGTATACATACCAATCAACATCCGGTTCATGATCAATGGGTAACTCTTAACATGTCTTCTACAATAAATCACACAGATATTCGTTATTAGATTTAGGTTATAAAAAGGCATTAGTAATTTTGTTTGAAGTATGACTTTGCACACTCCAGATACTGACAGTTTATAAAAGAAAATTAGAAAAAACCCTATGTCTGTTCATACCTGACATGTTTATCTACCATCAATAGTTATACTCTTATGTATATCAGTAGTTCCTTGTATTAAAGACATAGGTCCATTGTCAATAGCTAGACTCCTGTATATGTCTATTGTACCCAGACATGTTGGTCCATTGTCAATAGCTAGACTCCTGTATATGTCCATAGATCCCAGACATGTTGGTCCGTTGTCAATAGCTAGATCTGTATATGTCCATAGATCCCAGACATGTTGGTCCATTGTCAATAGCTAGACTCCTGTATATGTCCATAGATCCCAGACATGTTGGTCCGTTGTCAATAGCTAGATCTGTATATGTCCATAGATCCCAGACATGTTGGTCCACTGTCAATAGCTAGACTCCTGTATATGTCCATAGATCCCAGACATGTTGGTCCACTGTCAATAGCTAGACTCCTGTATATGTCCATAGATCCCAGACATGTTGGTCCATTGTCAATAGCTAGATCTGTATATGTCCATAGATCCCAGACATGTTGGTCCGTTGTCAATAGCTAGACTCCTGTATATGTCCATAGATCCCAGACATGTTGGTCCATTGTTAATAGCTAGACTCCTGAATATGTCCACAGATCCCAGACATGTTGGTCCACTGTCAATAAATATACTCCTGTGTATGTGCAGATGAGAGGAGGGGAGGACTATAGTTTTGCTTTGTTGTCTTTCGTCCTTCCATTCATCTTTTCTCTGTCTGTTGAACTTCATACTTTGGTATAGATTTACCTTGGTGTCATGTATCAAAAGTAGGTCTTCTGACCTATATTTTGATCTTTGACCTACTTCAAAGGAAATGATTGTCACGGTTCTATCTCCTACCCTGGAACTTCATTCTTGGTGTAGGGATTCTCCTTGGTGTGGTGGTGTTGTAGTGTGTTGGTCAGGGAGTGGGCAGGTGTAGGGATTCTCCTTGGTGTGGTGGTGTGTTGGTACGGGAGTGGGCAGGTGTAGGGATTCTCCTTGGTGTGGTGGTGTGGTAGTGTGTTGGTCAGGGAGTGGGCAGGTGTAGGGATTCTCCTTGGTGTGGTGGTGTGGTAGTGTGTTGGTCAGGGAGTGGGCAGGTGTAGGGATTCTCCTTGGTGTGGTGGTGTGGTAGTGTGTTGGTCAGGGAGTGGGCAGGTGTAGGGATTCTCCTTGGTGTGGTGGTGTGTTGGTACGGGAGTGGGCAGGTGTAGGGATTCTCCTTGGTGTGGTGGTGTGGTAGTGTGTTGGTCAGGGAGTGGGCAGGTGTAGGGATTCTCCTTGGTGTGGTGGTGTGGTAGTGTGTTGGTCAGGGAGTGGGCAGGTGTAGGGAGTCTCCTTGGTGTGGTGGTGTAGGGATTCTCCTTGGTGTGGTGGTGTGGTAGTGTGTTGGTCAGGGAGTGGGCAGGTGTAGGGATTCTCCTTGGTGTGGTGGTGTGGTGGTGTGTTGGTACGGGAGTGGGCAGGTGTAGGGATTATCCTTGCTGTGGTGGTGTGGTAGTGTGTTGGTCAGGGAGTGGGCAGGTGTAGGGATTCTCCTTGGTGTGGTGGTGTGGTGGTGTGTTGGTACGGGAGTGGGCAGGTGTAGGGATTCTCCTTGGTGTGGTGGTGTGGTGGTGTGGTAGTGTGTTGGTCAGGGAGTGGGCAGGTGTAGGGATTCTCCTTGGTGTGGTGGTGTGGTGGTGTGTTGGTACGGGAGTGGGCAGGTGTAGGGATTCTCCTTGGTGTGGTGATGTGGTAGTGTGTTGGTCAGGGAGTGGGCAGGTGTAGGGATTCTCCTTGGTGTGGTGGTGTGGTGGTGTGTTGGTACGGGAGTGGGCAGGTGTAGGGATTATCCTTGCTGTGGTGGTGTGGTAGTGTGTTGGTCAGGGAGTGGGCAGGTGTAGGGATTCTCCTTGGTGTGGTGGTGTGGTGGTGTGTTGGTACGGGAGTGGGCAGGTGTAGGGATTCTCCTTGGTGTGGTGGTGTGGTAGTGTGTTGGTCAGGGAGTGGGCAGGTGTAGGGATTCTCCTTGGTGTGGTGGTGTGTTGGTACGGGAGTGGGCAGGTGTAGGGATTCTCCTTGGTGTGGTGGTGTGGTGGTGTGGTGGTGTGGTAGTGTGTTGGTCAGGGAGTGGGCAGGTGTAGGGATTCTCCTTGGTGTGGTGGTGTAGTGGTGTGGTGGTGTGGTAGTGTGTTGGTCAGGGAGTGGTGTGGTGGTGTGGTGGTGTGTTGGTACGGGAGTGGGCAGGTGTAGGGATTCTCCTTGGTGTGGTGGTGTGGTGGTGTGGTGGTGTGGTAGTGTGTTGGTCTGGGAGTGGGCAGGTGTAGGGATTCTCCTTGGTGTGGTGGTGTGGTGGTGTGTTGGTACGGGAGTGGGCAGGTGTAGGGATTCTCCTTGGTGTGGTGGTGTGGTGGTGTGGTGGTGTGGTAGTGTGTTGGTCTGGGAGTGGGCAGGGAGACTGTAATTTACCTTAATTGTCTTGTTCTTATTGCCTTACTTTCTGGTATGAAGGTTCAGTGTATACGAGTACAGAACAAGGAAATGCTAGATTGCATCCTTTAATTGAATGCAAAGTGCAGATATGGTTTTGCATATGAAAGTGTTCTTTTGAAGAATCTGTTATCAATATCAGTGAAGACTTAAAGCAGCTATTACCTTAGATTTCAACATAGGGAAATGGAGAATTTGACTTATGAATAATAAAATATATCCATCATAAAGCAATACACGCGCATATAACGTCAAATTTGTTGTTTTTGTACATATTTTCGGCATCGGAACATTGTTTATCTTGACTGTTATTTATTTTTGTTCATGCTTGGTTTATTACATGACAAAGTCAATTACTTCTGCCGCAAAGGAAAAATGGATTGCGAGAAAAGTGTAAACAAACACACATGTTTTATGTATGACACTTGCTTTTGCACCTTTCTGCTAATTCTTGTTTGCAGTAAATGATTCTATAGTGTTATAATATATATAATTTTAACAATCAATCTTAGTAATTTGTTTTGTTTTGGCTTTGTCATGTGAGAATTGTCTATGTCAGTTGGGGGGGGGGGGGGGGCTATACTAGTGGGGCCCCAAAGGGGGTAATTACAATCGGAAAAGAAAAAACTCATTGTGCAGAAATGCATGGGAATTGATACTTTGTCTGTACACATTAATAGATATTGTTTACCACTCAACATATGTCTATGTTTTTATTATGAAGGTTGTGTTTATCATCATGGTCATTATTTTCACAGTAAGCACTGTTAAACATAGTTTACTGGACTGCATTGACCTTCTGTCTACACGAGAATGTTTTTATCATAACATTACATGTCTAAAATCCTTTCTTGAAACTGTTGAGATTTGTAAAATTCTGCATTACCTGAAAGATGTTGGTCTATATAATAGACTATGACGTACCATTTTTATCTGTTGTGTTAACATACCCATTTAAGATTTTTAACATTTGTCTTTTACCTTTTGGTTTGTTTAATATTGTTTCTTTTTGGATCCCTGTGTATTTTACCGTTTGATGGCCCTAATGACCTTTTATGTGTTTACAGGCCATTAAGAATGTAATAATGATAATAATGATAATCTCGCAGTAACACCAGTACCATCATATTTTTACACTTAGAACGAATACCCGCAATGGGGCCCCACCTTGCAGTCAACAACAAACACACGTTGTTGATAGTAAATTCAAGCGAATAACACAACTATTTTCATTCAACATTTATCAGATAACACTTTTAGTAGTGTTGTTCATAACATATTCACACATCAAACACTGGATACTGGATTATAATCAATGACAGGTGGATACATTATAATGATAGGGCTGACGTTAAGCTAACCAGTCAAGCAGCAGCTTCGCAAATTCCGAATCCGTATTCAGTCCAAGATCCTCCTTCATCTTTCACCATCTATCGATCTCCTGTCTAATATAAATTCTTGCCTGTCCTCTTTTCTGGTCTGACTCCTTCCTCTTACGCTTTCTGGCAATTTCTGTAACGTAACTTTTAGGTCCTTGTCGCCTTTTTGTATTTGTGTCAGCTATATTTGTTCTTTCTAGGCTTATACGCATGCGCAGCATCAGGGTTACGAGCGTTAATGTATGAATTAGATCATAACTGCACTGTTTACATTCTTTAGTTTTTAGATATCAATAAAAATGGTTGCAGTGACTTTTAATTTTAGTAATTAACAGAAAGTCTTAGTTTTGTAACATACTTTTGGAAAATAGAACGTTTTATATCGTTTTCTCGTAGTGTTCTTTAACATTATAGTCGCTTTAAATGTACTGATATACTATGCTGTATTACATGTCTAGAACTAACACAGTGGTTTTTGTTTACAGGTGTAACTATGGATGGGGGTGAACTCTATGATATGCACATGTGCCTGGTGTGCCATTCCACAGTTGTTGGTCTCCTCAACTATGTCAACCACAAAAAATATGACTGCCCTGGAAAACAGCAGAATCATAATGTCAAGCCTCCAAATACCAGTGTTACTGAACCGGTTCAACAGATAGCCACAGGGTCCAGCAGTTTAGTCCAGGATCCAGGTCAGGCGGAGAATCGCCATGATAACATGCAGAACGGTGGCAAGTCAAATATTGATCTTGGAACTGTAATCAGCCTGCAGGATCAACCGCAAAGTTCAACGAATACAACCTTGGCTTTTACAAGGTCAGATGGAGGTCACGGAGAGATGTCAGGAAACATGGGTCACCGTGAAGATTTATCAAATATATCGGAAACACAAGCTCAGGACTTCAGTTCCAGTGCTGTTGGTAGAAATCATATTACCAGTCTTGCAATTTCCAATGTGATGACTAAAAGCTCTATATCAACCACAGGACAACTTGACATTGGATCTTCTAACCATCTGCTCTCTTCATCTTCAAATCTTCACGGTAGTTCATCTCAGAATCCAGTGTTAGTAGATACAAGTCTCGAATATTCAAGTTTTCGCCCAGATGCTTTTAGTCCAGGTTCCAGCAGTGTTGTTGACCCTAATATGATAATGAGTTCCAGGACATCAGGAGAAAGGCCTGAAGACTTTTTCTCTTCACTTGCTCTGCAGAGTAAGAGTCAACCACAGAACACTATGCTTGGCCCTAGTTTGAGTCATACTGTTACTAGTGGCAACAATGAGAGTCTTACCAACGACCTGCCTATATCAAACATCTTGAATAATCTAAATTTCAGTGATGATGAGGACATGAACTTTTCCTTCTCTGAAGATGATTTATTTGAGGATGCATTTTCCGATTCAGACTCGGATGATGGATGGAGACCGCCACACAATCATACAAAGGGAAAATGGAAACCTGGACAAGGCCCGGAGTCTGGAGGCAAATGGAAACCAGGTCAGTCTCACCAGCAGAGTGGGGGGAAATGGAAACCAGGTCAATCTCACCAGCAGACTGGGGGAAAATGGAAACCAGGTCAAAGTCATCGGCAGACTGGGGGGAAATGGAAACCAGGTCAAGGCCCGTACAGTTCTGGGGGTAAATATAGGCCAGGTCGCACTACAGGTGGGAAATGGAAGCCAGGCCACTCTTTGTTACCGAACAAATCCAGTCCTAATGTTGACAAGAAAAAAAGAGGTAGGCCTGCCATTACTGAGAGTAGGAGTCAGCAGGAATACTTCTGTACGGCCTGTAATATATACTTTAAGAACAGGTTCTCCTACTCCAGTCACTGTACAGGTAAACAGCATAAGGAAAATGTCATCATAGGAAAATGTTATGACAACGACTCCGAGGGAGGCTTAGGACTTGGGGAGAGTCTTAGTATCCCTCAGATCAAAAGTGTAGAAGAGAATTTCAAGTCTGACTCTCCAACCACCGACTCTCAAACAGAGCCTCTTGCTAACAGTAACATTCCTGAGTACAAAACTACTGGCCTACCAGTAGATAGTGCTGACCAAGAAGGAGAGTCTAGTGCAGCTATTATGATGGCTGAAACGGAGGATCAACCTACGAATGTAGAGGAGGATGAAAATGCCATGGCTTTGGCCATATCACCCAAGGGCAGCGACAGAGGAAACAAGGCTGAATTGTCAGATGGTGGTGATGACATTGATCCTATAGATAATGATGGCAATGATGGCGATGGTAGCACTGATGAAGATGAAGAAGAAGTGGAGAATAATGATGTTGGGCATCAGGAAGAACCTGAGCCCATCAATCTGCCATCAGAAGTCCTAGTGTGCTGGATTTGTGATAAAAAGTTCTACAGTAAGTACGTGTTGGCCCGTCACATGTTGTCAGCATACCACAGGAATCGCACCAAGGGTCACCCAGATACTCTGCGTGTGTTGGAACAGTACAACAAATACATTGTAAGGCTCAGTCCTTTCCAATGTAGCCCTTGTCAGTTTTACTTCAACAGGGATGAAGATTTACGCAGTCATCTGGCTACTGCAGTACACATGAAGCGTATTAAGAAACTCAGTGGACAGTTGATTTGTACGTTGTGCAAGTTTGTCAGTCATGACAATAATGCAGTGAGGGATCATATGGATTCCAGACAGTCCCACATAGATGGACTTAAGAAAGGGAACAAACCCTGCATTATAAAGGAAAAATTCCAGGGCACTAAATGTAAATACTGTGATAAAATCACTCACTCACGTACACATATGAAGCGCCACATTCATTATAAACATGCAGCAGAACTAAAACGGAAAAGCTACAAGGTCGAAGAAAATGGAAAGTATAAGTGCTGTGAATGTTCTAAAGAATTCAAGTCGTACAAAGTGTTGAACTTACACATAAGTAGGCAGCATAACATCAGCAGTGAAAATTACTGTGATATCTGCAATAAAACCCTTGCGGACAAATACTCTTACGAACGTCACCTTCAAGGAGACAAACACCTTAGAAATGAGCAGAGTCAGCAATACCGACCATCAGCTAACAAGAGCGTCAATAAATTTGAGGTCGTAAATCCAAGTCTGACTGCCACTAACAATAACATATCGGGTCTAAAGCGGAGCGTTAAACTGATCATACGGACATTACCAGCCAAGAGAATGCGAAAGAACAAGAAGAAGGCCGAGAACAAGATCTACAAGTGTGACCATTGTGAACACAGCGTAACGAAATACTCGGACCTTCGTCCTCACTACATTGCTGTACATTCCAACCATATTCTTGTGTGCGACATATGTGACATGACTTTCATCAGTCAAAAGGCCCTCAAACACCACAACCAGAGCAAGCTCCATCAGACAAACCTCAAGGAAGTGGAAGGCAAGAATACCCAGAGTATTTATCAGTGTGAAATCTGTAAGCACCGCTTCACTGAAGAGGGATGGAAACAATTCCACATGGAGGTGTACCATCTCCACCCAAACTCTGAGGAAGCATTACAGAAAAAGCTCGGTGGCAAGGACATTACCAGTAAGATGTATTCAGATTATCTCAAAAGTGTGGAACATCTAGACCGCGCAGAAAAAGTCAATTGTCCAGTGTGCAATAAGAATCTTAAAAAGGAACACGTACTAGAACATTTACGTCTCCACACAGGAAACAAACCCTTCATGTGTCGCTATTGTAATTTTGGGTTCATCTCGGCTCTCTCGCTGCGACGCCATTTATTGGGTCACATGGGTTTAACAGAGAGGAAATGTGAGGAGTGCGGGAAGGAATACAAGAAAATATCTTCATACAAAGAACACATGTTACAACATGAAATGGAGAAAGCTGGCAAACAAAAATTTATGTGTGATATATGTGGCCAGGCGTTCTACCTGCAGAAACAGCTCAATAATCACATGCGGCGACATGGGGAACGCAAGTTTAAATGTTCATTTGATAATTGTCACTGGAGTTTCTATTTCTCCAATGAACTAGAATCACATATGAGATCCCATACAAGAGAAAAACCATTCCTGTGTGATATTTGTGGTTATGCTGCTGCAACCAAAAATCGTCTGCTTCGCCACTCTAGGACCCACACTGGAGAGAGGAAATTCCATTGTGAGTATTGTACGTATAAAGCTGGTACTAGTACGCATCTACGGCGTCACATGCGGATCCATATTGGATCTAAGCCATACAAGTGCCCTTACTGTGATTACTCATGTAACACACACGAGAACATCCGCAAACATATTGTCAAAACTAAGAAACATGCAGGACTCTGTATCTATCCATGTAAATTTTGTCCATTTGGAACTAATAAGGTCACAGAATTCAGGGAACATTTGGTAGACAATCACCCCAATGAGGTGGAAGGGAGCGTGTTTGACGGGCTGGCAGAAATGACGGGTCTTTATAACAAGGAGCAAGACCCCAGGAAGCCATCAGAAGGCATGAGAATCAACCCAATTAAGGAGAGGAAGGTCAGATTGCAGAAGAAGCAGTTTGGTATGAAAAAACGTGAAAATACTGAAACTCCAGCAAGAATTCAAGAAAAATCGCGACCAGAGTATGCCAGTCATCCTGATTCCTTGATGCCTGCTGAGCAACACAAAATACCTAGTCATTTAAATACAATTTGGCATGAGCAGATCGAAAAGGAGGCTCGGGATGCTGCAGCTATTTTGGTTTCAGCAGGCAATGCAAGTGCATCTGCACTGCATACACATCACCATCCATCAGCCTTGCATGGTTCACTGGGACTGATGTCAGCCTATAACTATTACCCAGAAGCATTGACAGGACGAAGCAAGGTAGATAGTCCATATGTACCTAATGGCTCCACAAGTAACCTTATTAGAATTGATCCTCATGCCAGTATACCAAACCATGCCCACCAGCAATGTGACAGACCAGACCTCATAATAGACTACCTAGAAATGGAGGTACAAGAGAACGCCTAGTCTTGTAATATTTATCTCCCTTCACGTATACTGGAGGCCCAGGGCAACACCTAGACTTGGAATCAAGTAGGTTACCTCCCTTATCTAATAATGGTGATCTTGGAGAACAATGAGAAAGTTCTTTTCCTTGTCTGTTAATGGAGGCCTGGAATAACATCTAGACTCAGAATGGGGTAGGTTATCACCCTTGTCTGATAATAGAAGTCTGGTACAATAATTGTCTTGAAATGTAGAAGGTTGTCTCCCTTAGCAGTCAGTGAAAAAAGTGTCTTGGAACGGAGTTGGTTATCTCCCTTGTTTGAAAATTGTGGTTATGGGCACCTGAGCCACATTTTCGTAAGAGTTTGACTAGTTAGATCAGGGTTGTTAATTGATGAAAAAAGAATGGATCTATTGTTGATATTTTGCTTACTGACTAGCCTTGACAAAATCTTTCAAAATCTGTATTTATATGCAGAGATCTGCATGATTCATGCCTGAAATATATATGTACATTTGTAATGTTGATGAACCTGTTTGCATAAACGAAAGCGGCCTAAAAGTTTTGTTTTACATGGGGTATGTTTTTGAAAATAGGAGAATTGTGTTCGATTCAGGATTATATAGTCTGTTAAGCAGAGGCAAGGAGGTCCTAGTTAATATCTCTGTCCATAACAGAGATAGTGAACTGGTGAATGATTGATAACAAAACAACTCTTGACTTGTTTGCAGCAATTTTTTTTTAAAGATTTTCTGAACTTTTGTTATTACTGAAATTTGGTTCTATTGTTTTGATATTTACATACACAAAGCTTAGTGTGATACCTCTTTGTATTTCTGTTGTAAAAGATTCAACACTTCACTCATCATAAAAGTTTACCTATATAGTCTGTCATTCTGATATTCTTTTAAAGTTGATGGGGAGGGATGAGGACGTGTGTTAAGTTAATAAATAAAGATGGAGAGTTAAAAAAAAAACTTTCTCAGAAATTACTGTCCAGGCCAGGACACCTCTCAGTAATTTATGGTGTCTTGTTAAGATGTCGCTTTTAGAGTTATCTTCCCTTGTTGTTATTTAGATATTATAACTTCAAAAGGAAGGAGCCAACGTCGGGTGTAAGTAAGTGGGTGTTAAACAGGGACTTTGCTGTGAGTATGGATACCACAGGGTAGGCAAGGCGATTTAACAAACACTAAATATTAAATATGAAATGGAAATTAATTACAACTTACTTCTGCGTTACCAATTAAGTGGGTGTTCACTTACTCGGTGACTAGTTTCGCCTCTGCCACAGAGGCTTCATCTGGATCTGGTCTTGAAGAAGCCTTGGTAATGCATGAGTATGTTGCGATTTATACCCTCTTCATATATACTACTTAGATATTATAAGTAGGTAATTAATGGGGAAAATACCGCATATTTAGATATACATATATTTAAATAAGTCATAATTGATAAAAAAAAAAGAGGGGTAATAATTTCTATAATTTTGATGAATCATTTATTTAAGTATGGTGAGTACATTTTTTTGTTCATTTAGATGTTTGTATTTTATCATTATTAATTTCATCTCCATTGTTGTTTTTTAAGCTGTGTTTTATTTACTGAAGAAAACACATAAACTCAGAGCATTAAAGATAGCCAAATGAGAAGCAATACATTATCGTCTATAACTCTGTGTCTGTTCAGGGGGTTAACTTATTATTGTTATTTGTGAACCGCTGATATTAAAATGACAAGATAACCAAAATAATAATTAACAGAATGCTGATTAAAAATAAAATACTTCCTATTTTTGTTGACTTTGATTTAAACATAGTTTACTGGTTCTGTCTCACAGAGGGAACAAATAAACTATATTTAAATAAAAGATTGTTTTACATTTGTATCATTTTGTTGTAACATGTTTTAAATTAATTTTGTTTTTGTTTCCTTAAGATTAAACAAATATTTAAGGTTACTGACTTTGAATATGGATAATTAAATTGCACATGCATTTTTGATACCCTAAAACATTGGATCCATTACAAGAAATGGATTTAATGTGTATTTTAAACTGATATTGTTGATTTGAATACTTTTTGTGGTCAAAATTTGTAGAATGGAGGTTGTCTTGCATTATTTATAAGCAAATTCATCCAACAGACTGTGAATTTTAGTTACACAGCTTACTGCTGAACTTTGGAATTTCACAGAATTTATTGATTTAATTCAAGAAATATGTTTTACTGTGAAAATATGAATTCAGTTCAGGAATGATTAGTGAGTGAAAAGTTTTGGTTATTTAGTTTGTTTGCACTTAAAAGTAGGTCAGATTTTGCACCCACATAAAAATTAGGATGAATATGCAGAGCTTAGCTAGAGTAAACCTTGAACAGAGACAAAATTTTGCCAAATTGAAAGGTTGTAAAATCATATTTGTAGAGAAATCAGGCTCATAAAATCCACCATTACATGTGCTATGTTCCATGTCAACTTTTATCTGTGCATCTTTTTGTGGACATATAAATTCATGGATTTTTTGGTACCCGCAATTTCAGTGAAAATAAATCCCCAACCAAAATGGATGATTTTACAGTATTCCAAAATACTCAAAATGTTAAACTCAAGCATGAATTATCAGTGTACCTTCCTGATGTCAAAGGTATTGAAAAGTGTCACAACGTTCCCACATTCCTGTGTTTCATTGGTAAGATTAATTAATATGACATCAGGTAAGCTTATCTTCAATCAGTAAAGTTGATGTCTTGACATGAGAAGCACATTTTTATTTATTTTATTTATTTTTTTTTTGCAAAGAAAATCGGAAGATAAAAAAAACTTGCTTAAAATTTTACCTTTTTTGACTTTTTCATTTTGAATTTAATTGGATCATGAACCAAGACGATATCAATGTCGCAAAAATTGAGGATGTGTCAGGAAGAGATTAAGAAGGAAGTCTTGGAACACTATTGAATTAAATACAGTTTGACTATGATCTAGTTTGAAGCATTCTTTAACCAAGAAGATCAAGTTCTATTTTACTAAAGGAGTAGAGACTTTGGCCAACAGTTTTTGACACCATAAGGACATGTATCAAGTATAAAGGCGATTCAGGTCTGAGATAAATGTTGATTTCATATTTAATTTTTGGGACAAAATAAAAGTGGTCATGCTAGTCTGTTAGCTTTTGCACTCAGAAGAGGATGTTGCTTTGTTGAAATTTTCACATTTAGTATTTGCCTTTTTGGTACATCTTCTCTCATATACTAGCATCCATGTTCTTCAAGCTCCATGATGTGAACCTTTATTTTGTTTATTACCCGAGTTATTCTGGTCGCTGATGAATTGTAGAATTTCTATTTTATTTATACAGGGTTTGATTTTGATGTCCTTCATCATCACTGTATTTAGTAACTTTGTTTTGGTACAGATTTTGATGTCCTTCATCATCACTGTATTTAGAGACTTTGTTTTGGTACAGATTTTGATGTCCTTCATCATCACTGTATTTAGTAACTTTGTTTTGGTACAGATTTTGATGTCCTTCATCATCACTGTATTTAGTAACTTTGTTTTGGTACAGATTTTGATGTCCTTCATCATCACTGTATTTAGAGACTTTGTTTTGGTACAGATTTTGATGTCCTTCATCATCACTGTATTTAGAAACTTTGTTTTGGTACATGATGTCCCTCATCATCACTGTATTTAGAAACTTTGTTTTGGTACAGATTTTGATGTCCTTCATCATCACTGTATTTAGAAACTTTGTTTTGGTACAGAACATGATGTCCCTCATCATCACTGTATTTAGAAACTTTGTTTTGGTACAGAACATGATGTCCCTCGTCATCACTGTATTTAGAAACTTTGTTTTGGTACATGATGCCCCTCGTCATCACTGTATTTAGAGACTTTGTTTTGGTACAGATTTTGATGTCCTTCATCATCACTGTATTTAGAGACTTTGTTTTGGTACAGAACATGATGTCCTTCATCATCACTGTATTTAGAAACTTTGTTTTGGTACAGAACATGATGTCCCTCATCATCACTGTATTTAGAAACTTTGTTTTGGTACAGAACATGATGTCCCTCATCATCACTGTATTTAGAAACCTTGTTTTGTTGATCGGTATATACTCAAACAAAAGTTACTATTTACCATTAGAGATACTGGTCTATCTATTGCATGGTTTCACTATTTTAGGAGAATTGTTAAATTATTTGAAAATTTATTATAATAAACATATTACCAAGGCAATCCATGTCACAATCACTAACTATATTGAGAATTAAAGTTGCAGGGTTGTTCAATTGGAATGGTATGGTTAATTATTATGTTAAGTATTTGAAATTCAGGGTATATTAAATTTAAAATGATCTCTAGCATAATATCATACAAGTTTCATTTCTGTTTTAATGAAATGCATGTTTCTGTAAACTTCAGAAAAACAACTGGTATATTTCCAATCAGGACCGTGTAACAATTCTTTAATGGCTGACTAACTAAATCAGTTAGTTAGATTTTGATTACTGTTATTGCTCAGATATGTTTCTCTCTCCGTGTGTTGTTCAATCATGCTGTAGAATTGATTCAGAGTTCTATAAATAGATTTATATGAACTGATGTTCAATGTGATTATTGAATGAAAATATCTGTTCTAAATTAATATTGTTGATAATAATTGTACATCTATTAAAGCTAGCCTGCAATTATTATTTTGTGTGATTGAGCTGGGAACTCCCTGGAACCTGATGAATGTTTGGAGTGTCTACAATATGTTTCATATTCACGATTAAAAAATAATGATGTACCATGATAATGACTTTAGTTTGTGATTTCAAATATTAATTTCATCTCAAATATTTGGATTTGTACTATTCTAGGAATTGATGAACTTTAAGTCACCATCATCAACTGACCTGTTTGAGGGATACCTTAAATGAGTCATTGAGATGCAGGATGTTCAATCAACTGCTCTTAGAATGAGTAATTGAGACAAGTTTGTACAGCTTTGAGTCTGCCCAAAAGATTAGAGTTATGATGTCGATGAGATTCAGGATGTGAAGCAGCGGTTATGCTGTCACATTGTGCGGTCACACATGTAGTAGACCTTAGTGTCGGACCAGCAGTTGACAGTAGTTGATCATAGATAAATGTATTAACGTACTAAGACATAGTTCTTTATCGTTAGTAATATAGGGTAATCTTTGATTTTACTATGGTTAGCCCATAGTTTTTCAAATCGTTTAATGTATCTCCACTGGAGCTACTGTGACCATAGTTTAAACATCGTTTGATAATTACTTATAATTGACCTGGCAATATTCATATAGCAGTACCGTTAGCACCATGGTCATGTAGGGTCAAAAGGACAACCAAATATGCTGGACTATGGTTGAAGAACGTTCACTGAACCATTAAGTATGTTGAGTAATGTCAACTTGCCATTTTGCTGTAGTTCAACGTAGTTGACCATATTTACACATAATTCATCTTTGGTAAATTTATAGACAAGGATGTGTGTGAATGCAAGACGTAACCATTGCTTTAGCATCTGTTCAAGTGGCTGCTGTTGACTTTGACATTTAATATTTTAAGCAATTACTAACTCTGATAGTGTCATCTAAAGTCAATGAGACACCACATTTATAACACTGAGTCCATCAGAGTAACATTAATGAGTCAATAAGACACCCTCTATCAGTTACTACTGTTAATGAGCCAATCAGACACAGTCCATCACAGTTACTACTACTAATGAGTCAATAAGACATAGTCCATTACAGTTACTACTATCAATGAGTCAATCAGACATAGTCCATTACATTTACTACTATTAATGAGCCAATCAGACACAGTCCATTACAGTTACTACTGTTAATGAGTCAATCAGACAGTCCATTACAGTTACTACTATCAATGAGTCAATAAGACAGTCCATTACAGTTACTACTATTAATGAGTCAATCAAACATAGTCCATTACAGTTACTACTGTTAATGAGCCAATCAGACACAGTCCATTACAGTTACTACTATCAATGAGTCAATCAGACACAGTCCATTACAGTTACTACTGTTAATGAGCCAATCAGACACAGTCCATTACAGTTACTACTATTAATGAGTCAATCAGACACAGTTCATTACAGTTACTACTATTAATGAGTCAATCAGACACAGTCCATTACAGTTACTACTGTTAATGAGCCAATCAGACACAGTCCATTACAGTTACTACTATCAATGAGTCAATCAGACACAGTTCATTACAGTTACTACTATTAATGAGTCAATAAGACACAGTCCAACACAGTTACTACTATTAATGAGTCAATCAGACACAGTCCTTTACAGTTACTACTATCAATGAGTCTATCAGACACAGTCCATTAGAGTTACTACTATTAATAAGTCAATCAGACACAGTCTATCACAGTTACTACTGCAAATGAGTCAATCAGACAGAGTCTATCACAGTTATTACTATTGATGAGTCAATCAGACAGTCCAACACAGTTACTA